TGATATGGGAAATGTTAAAGGAATGATTGATCTTGGAAATTGTTATAAAAATGGAATTGGAGTTGAAATAGATGAATATAAAGCATTTACTTGTTATCAAAAATCTGCTAACATGAGAATATTAATGGAATAAAGTTTTTTTTTTTTTTTTGAAACAGAATAAAGGAGCAAATATACTTGAAATGACAAGAAGGTTAAATAAGTAAATGATTAGAATCTAATACTGCATATATTAATTCATTCTTATTGCTTAAAATTATAATTAGGAATCCATGTTTTGCAATAAGTTTTAACTTTGATATAATATGAACTAATATTTTTATATGCTAAGTGCTAGTCATTCTAGTAATGATAAAAAAAAATAATGATTTTTTTAAACGTTATATTAATGTTGCGTGATCCGGTCCAATTTGATCAGTGAATAGTTTAGTTCAAACATCTTAATACTGATCAAATAGGTCAAATAGTCCGGTTAATATACAATAAACTAGAACTGATCATATGATAACTTTGCCATCTGACCCATTAATAAACTTGGATATAGATTTAGCTTTATATTAAAGTTCAGTAAATTATCACTATTATGTATTTGCTTGACACATAGGCTTTGTTATTATTCATGTTAAATAATTTGCTCATCAATAAATTAGATGATTATATTAAAAATCAACTAGTTAATCGTGTTGATTAATAAAAATCAGAGATTGACACAGAATTCGTTACTTTCGTAGTATGATTTAATTATTTTTTTTAAAGAAAAAAATCGGTACACCTGACCTTGGTATTTGATACTGTATATATTTATATAACAAATTCCTATCGATATATGGGGTCTTTGCCTTGAAAATGGCATTATGGTATCATGTACTGTAAGGTCATTTTCAAGGTAAAGACCCTATATTTCATATATTTAACTACCAATTAGGGGAAAGGGATATAACGACAGGTATTATCATAACTAATTTTTTATAAACCATATATTGTATTATTCTAGTACACTACATATCAGTTCTAATGAGAAAGGTTGTTTCAAGTGATCTATAAGAACTCTAGAGTTGCCCAGAAAAAATGATCAGGATTATTTACTGGCTTACATGTAATTTTGGATACTGATCTTTGGATAAATCATGAGTATTTATTTGAAGAAAATAACTTTTTTTTTTTTTTAGCAGGTGCACTAGGGCTTCATCTTTCGTCAGAAGATTTGGGGTTTCGTTTATCGTTTAACAACTATATTCACAAGCGTGAAAACTGAAAGTCACATTATTCATTTTATTTAATGAAAAATATAAAATTTAATCGGCTAGTATACGTAGATTAAGTTAGATTTTATGATCGATCAGCAAAATTTTTGATTGGCTAAAATTAAGATCAACCTCACGTTACCTTTTACGCGTTACTTCTTTTTGTTTGTAAATTAACAAATACTTCTCTTTCACGATATAAAAGTGTATTTCGGAAAGCATATAAATACTGCATTTGTCTACTAGCTGATCAAGAAAGCAACACAGGATTAAATAACATAAGCTTTAACTTAGAATTGGATACTCTCTTTATTAGTTTCACTTATATACAATATGTAACTACTAACGATAAACGGATAATCAAACAATTCTTGATACAAGACAAGTTTCATATAAGTTACATTTCATATCGGATTAATATAGAACCGATGCATGTCTATAAAAGGGTAAGCGTTATAATAATTAAACTTATATAAGTTACGATTTTTATTTCCATGTATACAATTTACGAAACAAGATCATGTCAAGAGAAACACACATAGCAAAAGTTGAAAAGGTCAGAAAATAAATTTATAAATTTCTGAAGTTTTAATATTATTATTTTATCCATGAATGATTTAAACAAATTAAATATAGTTCTGCCACATTGACGGAAAGACTGCATGTCAAGACTATCTTAACAATGTTTTCATTGATTATGCTTCTGTCGAATCTATATATAGGACAGAAGAGAAAAGACTTAAAAATTATGGACAATGTCAAGAATGTGGCAACATAAGAGAATGTATTGAAGGCAAATATGATAAATGGTGCAAAACTTGTAATGCCGCTCATTTTCGACAACTCTTTTCTACGTGGACATCAGGCAATGAAGAGATTGATTACTTTATTCAACACGCACAAGTTTATGCATGGGATTTTAGGTTAGCCTTGGAATGGTATCCATGGGAAATGTTTTCTGAGATCGAAATGATAGGTAAAGGTGGGTTTGGAACTGTTTTTCGAGCTAAAACAAAGATACAAAAAATTTGGTATTGGGATCAGAAAAAACAATGATTGGCATCGTTTGGAAAAAGATAATCAAACACCAACACATAATGAAGATTTTTACTATAATGAATATGTCGCATTAAAGACAATTGGAGAAACAGAAACAGAAGATTTTCTTAATGAAGTAATTTGATTATATTTTTTTTTTTATATTTTATTTATTATTTATTAAGTATTTATTTATTTTTCATATTTTAGGCCAAGAAGCTACAACGATGGGCTTATCGAAATCCCACCAATACAGTTACTCTTTATGGATTTACTAAAAATGAAACTACAGGACAATATTTCCATGTTATGAGATATTTTAAAGGAGATTTACGCAATCGATTGCAATTAAACGAAGAAAATAGTTGGCAAATAAAAATCAGAATCGCACGATGGATTGACTTGAATTTATATGAAATCCATAAAGCAGGACTAATTCATAGGTAACATTAAAATTAAAAGGTTATTTTTATTTTTAATCATTTAACACTTATTCATTAACACTTATTCACTTGCAAAAAGGGATCTTCATCCGGGGAACGTACTACATTTGTTCGATGGTAGCTATGATTATTGTCAAATCGGAGATTTAGGGCTTACCATATCAGTATCAGAAGCAAGTAGTAATAAGAATTTAAGTGGAGTAATGCCTTACATGGCACCTGAACTATTGAACTCTCGTAGTTCATACACACAAGCAGCTGATGTTTATTCGTTTGGTATTCTCATGTGGCAAATAAGTTCTTGTGAACAACCCTTTTTTGATGTTGAACATGATGCCAATTTGGCGTTACAAATATCTAAAGGACTTCGTCCAAAAATTCCAGAAAGTACACCACCATTTTATCGAGCTCTTATGCAAAAATGTTGGGATTCAGACCCTACAAAAAGGCCAACAGCAAATCAAATATGTGAATCAATTAATAATTGGTATGAATTTAAATACGGCTTTGAACTTACAAAAGAGATACAAGATCAAATCGACAAAGCTGAAGAAGTTTATCTGAAAAATGTATTAATCGATAAAGAAAAGTTGACACCACATCCTGGGGCCATTTATACGAGTCGATCAATGATGAATATAACTAAAGGTAAAAAGAATAATCTAATTACTTTTTAAATATAAATCTAATATTTATATCTTAATCTCTTTTTTAGAATTGGCTACCATGAATTTTGATGATTTCAAACTTCCTAATGATTTTGATTAATTGTAATGAAATCAATTTAAGGCAAATACAAATAAAATTATATTCAGAAAATTACTTAGAGAATTCGTATTCGAACTATTTTTTGCTAATGACACATATATGTATTCTGTAAACAGATTGGTTTTCTTTTTATTTGCGTTATTTGAATAAAGAATATATACCGTAGCTTAGTAGTCTTGAAAGAACGATCGAGCTATTAAGTGTAAACTTTGTTAATAAGAATTTGATACAGTTCTAATGTAATCATCTGCGTAATTTCTTATACAGTATTTGAGCATGAGGGTATTCTTAAATTGTACTCTAATGTACAGCTAGGGATAGAGATGTTGCGAAATCCGTGTAGTCCGAAATCATTTAGAGAAATTCTATGGAAAGGAAAGAACTGGTGTTGTAGATCCAGATTTTTGCTGTTCTCAAATATCTTCTGTGGTTTATAGAATGATCTAACTGGTTATAAGGCAATAAATCGTGATAATAATTTAAGTAAATGTGACAACACTATTTGTTGTTCAATGGTTAACTGAAACTTTTAGAATTTACATTTTTTTAATGGATTTTCGTAAAAATGTTTTTTTGAATGCTAAATTTATAAATTAAAAATATTTGTTAATATTATTTAGATGAACCTGAAGAACTTATCGTTAAATATAACGTAACTAGTACAAAATTTACGGTACCAGATCTCTATGTATTATCCTCCTGCTATGCAAAAACTTTAATCCTTTGAGAATAGATTTAACCAAAGAAATTTTGTCAAATAATTGCAGTTTATCCTTATTATTTCTGAGGTAATCTTTTAAGTTGCCATTATTCGCATATTGCATGACAATAATATATTCATTTGTAACGGGGTCTATAATAAAAAATTAAATCATAGATCAAATTAACAGCATGCAAAAATTATATATTTCTGGAGACTTCTAGGCCCATATCACACATTTTCATATATCAAGCCGAAATTTACCCTGCGATAATCCAAAGAATTGAATAATATACTCTTTACATTCTTTCGAATGCCTCAAACTACGCACCTAAATATATTAACAAAATTATAATTAATTTGTTAATTTTTCTAAAACCTTTTAATGTATAAAAAATTTTGCTAGTATTTTTTATTTTTTTTAAAGACTTTGTACCATGTATCAACAAACCTCTCTGTCAAAATCCCTCTCGAATTGTTGCGTTGCAGCATATTTAATAAATTTTGCTGCTGCTATTTGTTCATTCTCTTTTCCTTCATTCCATCGCACTTTGTAAACCACTCCAAACCCCCCTGCATCTAAACATTTTAATTTCTTTAATTCGTTACATTTAATATCGCAATTGGACGAATACTTTCTTGTTATCTGGCATGATGTGACGGATACATGGGTATTCGGCAGGATGATAGCAAAAGCACGTGGCCGAAGGCC